GATTATCTTCTGTGTCTGTGTTAATTGGTTTCCCTTTTCTTTGTTGAAGAGGGTCTGTGCAGTCTTTCTGCCTAGTCCTCCATCTTGCCGGAACCCCGATTTATCATCTTTTGACGTCTTGACTGCTGCTTCCATTGGCGTTGATTGTAGAACCAAGCAGTTTGACAACTTCAATCTTTTCTCCAGTTATCCTGATGCTGCTTATTGGTCCAGTTCTGAGGATTTTTGTTTTCTTTATATTGAGGCGTAATCCACACTGCAGACTGCACTCTTTAATTTTCATCCTCTTCCGTCTTCCTGCAGATTGGGTACAATAGAATTGAGTAGTCAGCCACTTGTGAGAACACCAGACCACCTTGGTTGGTGGCTGGTGTTCTGGGAACTCACAAACCCTTCTGTCTCACATCCATTGTCTGGTTTACTCCTACTGTCTCCACCAAATTCAGATTTTCTGGTTTAACTCTCCAAGAAGAGTCAGTTTTCCTGATTTCTGGGGAAACCTGACTGTGATCTCCATAATCTACAATTTTAAGGAAGAATTCTTCTTTCTATATTATCATTTTAAAATTACAATTAGTGGCAATAATTTTAGCTAGTAAAAAGAGTATTACACACTCACTGTATGAAGCAGGCACTGTCTCTTGCATTATTACCTCATCAAATCCATGCAACAGCTCCACAGTGTAGGTGCTGTTATTATCTCATAGATGAGGAAACTAAGGTTTAGAGAGGAACAACTTGACTAAGGTCACATAACTAGCGAGTCTAACTTCTAACTAAGCCTGTGTTTATTATCCCTATGTTAGGTTCCTTTGGAAAACTGAAGGGAAAGGTAGCATTTCCTAAGGATTAAGGCAGCTTCCCAGATAAATCAAGATCCTTTCTTCTCTTTTCTTTAATACTCTACCAGGAGATCTAGAAGTCCAACAGACAGTATTCTTTGGTCCCAGTATATCTGTGGGTAGGGCTCATGAGCTAAAACGGGCCAATGACAGTGGTTACAGACCTACTAAACCAAAACCACAAGGGCGTTCTGGTGGCTAGTGCCTAAAGCATTTGACTACTAACCAGTAGGCTGGCGGTTCAAACCCACCAGCCACTCCTGGGAAGGAAGTTTGGGCAATCTACTTCCGTAGTGATACAGCCTCAGAAATCCAAGGAGGGGTCGCTAGAGTAGGGATTATTTTTGTCCCCAAAGCCACCCAAAGATTCCTTAAGATCTGGCCTTCCCAAACCTCACCTCTCTGTGACTCACTCTCTGCAGTGGTTGTGACCCTGGATCCCGACACAGCGCATCCCAAACTCATCCTGTCTGAGGACCTCAAATGCGTGAGGCTCGGAGACCGAAGGCAGCCTGTGCTGGACAACCCACAGAGATTCAATTTCGTCGTCAGCGTCCTGGGCTCCGAGTGCTTCAGGGCCGGCCGCCATTACTGGGAGGTGTATGTGGGCGACAAGACCAAGTGGATCCTTGGGGTGTGTAGTGAGTCGGTGAGCAGGAAGGGGAAGGTCACTGCCTCGCCCTCCAATGGACACTGGCTTCTGCGGCAGAGTGGTGGGACTCAGTACGAAGCCCTCACGTCCCCGCAGACCTCCTTCCGCCTGAAAGAACCCCCACGGTGTGTAGGGATTTTCCTGGATTACGAAGCAGGAGTTATCTCCTTCTTTAATGTAACCAACAGATCCCACATTTTTACTTTCACACACAATTTCTCTGGCCCTCTTCGCCCTTTCTTTGAACCTTGCCTTCATGATGGAGGGAAAAACATGGCACCTCTAGTCATTTGTTCAGAACTCCAGAAATCTGAGGAGTCAACTGTTCCCGTGCCAGAAGGAAAAGGTCATGTTAATGGAGACCTGTCCGTGATGGTGGACCCTTCCTTACTCCCGCCTCAGGCACCAGAGCTTCTCCCATTCAGGGACATGGTGACGTCCTGGCCCTCTGACCTCCGCCCGGCCCTTCAGGGGCTCAAGGCACCTTCCTTTTAGGGATGTGTCTTAACTCCAGCCCCCCTGACTGCCCAGCCCAGCTCTCTAGATTGCAATCTCCTGGTCCATCTCTTGGTTCTGGAACTCTCAACTCCTTACCCCAAATCCAGACCCTTTATTGTGGTTTCTACTTGTACCACCTTTCTCTCAGGACTCTGAGCTCTGCCTTCTTTCTGGGAACTGCAAAGAGAATTCCTGAAAACCAAATATATATGGGTTTAGGTTTAGGTGGAGATGTTGAATGTATGTCACCAAGACACAGTGCAGGTTCAGGGTAAGGGGTTCTCTACTCCAGGGGAATAATTAGAACTTTTCTCTGCCTCATCCTGCACTTGGGCCCCCAGTTTCAGAATGAATTTCTGCTTCTTACCCCTCCTATCAAGGATTGCTTTTCTTTTTTCTCTTTCTCAGTTCAGGCCTTTAGCCTCCGCCCACCACCCACTGCCATCCAGTCAATTCCTACTCACAGCGACCCCCATTGGGCTTCCAAGGCTGTAAATCTCTATAGAGGTAGATTGTCTCATCTTCCTCCTATGGAGCAACTGAGGGGTTTGAACCACCAACCTTCTGGTTAGCAGTCAAATGCCTTACACACAGTGCCACAGAGCTCCTTTAGCCCCCACAGTCAGCTTTTAAAAGCAAACATGTTTTAGATCACATACCTTCCTTTTTTCAGGGTAATGGGGAGGGAGGGCTGAAACATGCCATCCTTTTCTGTTTTCTTGATGCTTTTTACCACTGTTTGGTGACAGCCAAAGCTAATGCAAAAAAATAAAAACCAGCTGCTGTCAAGTTGATTCCGACTCATGGCGATCCCATGTGTGTCACAGTTGAACTCTGCTTTGTGGGGCTTTCAAGGCTGATTTTTCAAAAGATTGTTGAGGCTCCTCTGGATGGACTCGAACCACCAACCTTTCAGTTATCAGCCAAGTGTGTTACCCATTTGCACCACCCAAAACTAATGTACATGGTTTTAAAAGCTAATTTGCCCACTGATGATAACCAGGTACAGGGATTTTAACTGCCATAGCACTAATCCTTAAAAGCCTCAGGAGCACAATCAAGAAGCTGGGAAGTACAACTTCAAAAAGAGCAGCTCAGTTATGTGCAGCCTTGAAAAGACAGGCGCAGATGAGTCAGCTGGCCTTTTCAAACAAAGGCATCAGGCCTCCTGAGAGTCAGTGAGCAAAAAATGACAGATTTAACTGCCAATGTAGGAGCTGTGTTTCCACAAGCTTTTATTTGGGTAGCAAACCCCTTCTTAGGTTGGATAATATTGATTTCAAATAGGAAGTGGTAGACTAAGTGTGAGGATAAAATAACGAGCCTAATTTAGTGTCCCTTAGTTACTTTAAAGTCATACCACATATGTGACCTGCCCTGCTTTGTGGAGATACTGGCTATCAGTTTGCACATGGGAACACAGTTCTACCCAAGGGAAAATGGATCTTTCTATCTGAAGTGCCCTCTGCTAGTGTTCAAATGGAATGTTTTATTTGTTTTCTTACAGTTCTTAAATAACAGTTTGGTATTTTTCATTGTTTAGCATGCAGTTATTTTCATTGTGAATGAGAAGTTGTGGGGAAAGACTTCAGGCTGCTAAAAGAAAAATTCATTATGGAATTGATTTCCAAACAGTCTTGATCCTCCCAAGCAAGTTTTAACCACAATTAATAAAACCACAGTTTTATTTCTGAGTCTGTTGTCTCAGTGTTATATTTATATCAAATTATAAATAATGACCATAAACCAAGCCCAAATCACTGCCATCAAGGAGACTGTGACTCACAGTGACCCACATTGGTCCTCCAAGGCTGTACATCTTTACAGAAGCAGACTTTCTTCTGAGCAGCTGGTGTGTTTGAACCACTGACCTTTTGGTTAACAGCCAAATGCCTTTACCACTACACCACCAGAGCTCCTTATAATTCATATAGGATATTTATATTTCACTCATCTATATTCAGTTTCAAACATACTTTCCTGAATATCCCAATCTTAATATCAACCCACATTGTTCACACTCATTTCACTCAATGACAGAACTTACCAGCAGGAAAGAGAACTGACATTTGTGGAGGCAGAAGAATTACACATGTTTTCTTGCTTAATCTTTAGAATTCAACCAGAGATTTCATAGAGGAGGAAAATGGTGCTCCACATGGCTATGTGGTAGAGCCAAGATTATAAACCTAGTTTTCTAGTTCTGAAGGGAATACTCTTTGATCTGCACTGAAACACCATGCAGATGTGAGAAGCCTTTAGAATTTTAATGTACATTGTTCTGGTTACCTAGTGCTGCTCTGACAGGAATATACCAGGGGATGGCCTTAACAAACAGGAATTTATTCTCTCACAGTTTGGAGGCTTTAAGTCCAAGTTCAAAGTGCCAGACTCTAGAGGCTGGGTGAAGGCCCCTCGACCTTGGGCTTCAGCTCTGCTTCTTACTCTTGGCCCACTGAAGCTTGAGGCATCTCTTCACTCAGGCAGCTACTGGCTGCTAGGGCTAACAAGCCCAAGGTCGACAAATAAAATAGCACTGTCCCGATGTTACCAAACCACATGGCAGGCCATTAATTGAAGTCCATTGTAAGTCCCAAGGTCGGCAGAGCATGGCAGGCTGCTGGACAACGACACAGCTACATGGAGGGTCCAAGCATGCCATAAGCTAGAGACCATTCCCAAAGCTGCTTCTTATATATGGGAAGCAGACCACATACTCAAAGCAGCTACTCAGCTGCTCCAATAGATTCCACCATGGAGTTAATTACCAATCTCATCATGGGGAATAACTACATTCAGCTGCCCAGCCACTCAACCAGGCCTAGACAAGTTGACACACAAACTTAACTACCACATACATATTCAATCAGTCTTTTTAAAAAGTTAAAACTGGGAAAAAAAAAATCCTAATCCCAGAGATATCTTAGTTTGATCATCTGGACTGATAAATGACTGTTAGCTTTAGCTAACAGGTTCCATCAGGATTGGAGGAAGAATCATTAACAACCTGAGATAAGCTGATGATGCAACTTTGCTTGCTGAAAGTGAGGATGACTTGAGGCACTTAATAATGAAGATTGAAGAACACAGTCTGCAGTATGGATTACATCTCAATATAAAGAAAACAAAAATCTTCACAACTGGACCTATAAGCAACATCATGATAAATGGAGAAAAGATTGAGGCTGTTAAGCAGTTCAAGTTGCTTGGTTCTATAATCGACGCCAATGGAAGCAGCAGTCAGGACATTAGACAACATGTAGCACTGGGCAGGTCGGCTGTGAAGGAACTGTTTCAAGTGCTGAGGAGCAAGGATGTCTCATTGAGGACTAAGGTGCACCTGACACAGGCCATGATATTTCCAGTCACCTCGTATGCATGTGAGAGCTGGACAATGAAAAAGGAAGACCAAAGAAGAGTTGATGCTTTTGAGTTGTGGTGCTGGTGAAGAATGCTGAAAGTACCATGGACTGCTAAAAGAACTAACAGATCTGTCCTGGAGGAAGTGCAGCTGAGATGCTCCTTGGAAGCGAGAATGGCCAGACTTCGTCTCATCTACTTTGGTCATGTTGTCAGAGGGGACCATTCCCTGGAGAAGGATGTCATGCTTGGTACAGTGGAAGGTCAACAAAAGAGGGGAAGGCCTTTGACGAGATGGATTGACACAGTGGCTGTGACAATGCGCTCAAGTATGGCAAGGATCGCAGAGCTGGCGCGGAATCGGGCAGTATTTCGTTCTGCTGTGCATGGGGTCGCTGTTGTTGTTGTTGTTATTTGCCATCGAGTCGGCCCCGACTCATAGCGACCCCTCCTTGGGTTTCCGAGGCAGTATCACTATGGAAGTAGGAATACCTAACCTGCCTTCCGAGGAGTGGCTGGTGGGCTTGAACCGCCAGCCTTCTGGTTAGCAGTCAAGTGCCTTACGAGTCGGAAACGACTCGACGGCACCTAACAACGACAACAACAACAACAACAACAGCTTTAGCTAGAAATAATATGCTGGACCCAGAAAATCTTTGTGCAGGGGCATTGGAAGACTTGGAGGTGGGTTTTTGGACCAGGCACACGCAGCTTCTTTGAATGAGAAGACTAGGTTAATTTATCTTTAAATTTGTCTAGTTACACAATTTTTAAACTTTGAATTATAAACCTCAAACTCATTCTGGTGGTGGAATCTGGAGACAGCGCCAGGATGAGGCACTTTGCAAGGGGAAATAAAAGAAGGCGGAACAAGTCATCAGTCTTGAAACTCAAGTGGCTGAAATAATTTCTTTGGTGTCTGCTACATTTTTGCATCCTTCAGTGACACTTTTGTCCATGTCACTGATGTCTCTGCCAAGGAAATCATCCGCCCTGTAATTGCTAGGATAAGATGACAGCTGACCGAGATGAATCCTTACCATAAGCTGTCATGTTGGCTGGCCACGATGTGGTCTAAAGGTGCAAGGAGCACTGCCCTACACATTCAACCCTGGGCCACAGGAGGAAACTGGACCACTGGGCTTGGGACCCAGTTTGCCTTCTCACAGTCCGTGCTCGTTGGGGCATGAAGATCAGGCGTGTTGAGGACTTCACTCCCATTTTCTTGGACAGCACTCCCAGAAAGTGAGGTCACCGTGGTCGCCGTCTGAGAACCGGCCCCCTCAAATGGCTGTTTTCTGTTAATAAACCCTCATCTCATAAGCCAGGAAAAAAAAAAAAAAAAACTTTATGAACGTCGAGTGAGGTTCACGATTCCCGACTTTGCTGCATGTCAGGACCATCAAGGTAAAGTAAAAACAAAATAAAGAAGAAACTTATTTTTGAGTTCATGACTCCTTGAAGGTTAGCTTCGCATAGTCTACAAACCTCCAGGGGAGTGGTCCCTCACCTTGGGCTGGAATACCAGAGGCGCAAGGAAATCTAAAGACCTTGGAGGGGAGCCCAGTCTCCACCCTTCGGTTCCAAACTTTACAAATTTTTTTCTTTCCTAACTACAATTCCCAGCATGCCACGCC